CACAGCCTGTAGTCCCAGCTACTCGGGAGGCTGAGGCAGGAGCATTGCTTGAACCCAGGAGGCGGAGGTTGCGGTGAGCCGAGATTGCTCCATTGCACTGTAGCCTGGGTAACAAGAGTGAAACTCCGTCTCAAAAAAAAAAGAAGTGAAAACATCATAAACTCTTAGTAAATAATTTTCATATGTTGGGGGATAACTTCTTATTTTCTTCCTTTTGTAAGATTTCTAAGACCTCCCTGGCTATGCCACTCAGTTCATTGCAGATGTAAACTCTCAGCAATTTTTAGTGCACAAACTATTTTACTACAGCGGAAGGCTGCTAGCACTAAAGACTATGTTTCATTTCTGTAAGTTGTAAGCATATTGACACCACTAACGACTTTGCGCCTCTACCATACCATTCTTAATCGAATTACTTTTTAAAAACATTAAAACAAAAAATAAAGATTTAAAGTTTCATTTTTAAATTCCAAGGTATTACTAGAAAAAATTAAGGCACATACATCTGAAGGCAACAAAAGACAGTAAAATAGCCAACAGAAAAGTTTCATTTTTAATAGGATTGATATCTCACATAATGGAAAATCTTTGTTACATTATATTGAACACTGAATTCCTGCCTTAAACAATGGTTGACTTTATTATTGAGCCCTAGGGATTGTGAACAAGGTGAGTCTGTATAATTATGAGCTCCATCTAAACTTTATTGGTCATAAGTGTTTACAAGTAAATTGTATTTGACCCTAACAGGAATTCAGAATTAAGCTAGGAGTCTGGTATTTATATTTTAGAATTTCTGGGTAGTTCTGCAACCCAGAGGAAGAGATATTAAAGAAGCAAGGTCAGCTATTACCTGCAATTTGATTGGAAGACAAGCAGACACTGGAATAATTTTAAGTTGGCTAAAAAGAGCAAAGCTCCATTACCTTACATGAGACTTGATATGTCATTTCCTTCAACGTATACATAGTCATCAAACTCAATATTGCTCCTACCCACTAAAATTCTAATAAAATAAGTGAATCTGCTATATTGGTCAAAACCGAAACTCTGGAAAATGCACCTCTGGATTGAGTTTCTGTAGTTTCAGTGTATGAAGAGAAGAAAACCTTAAAAGATGAAACTCTATGAGGCTAGATAGGAAGGGTTATCTTTTCATTAGAAGGCAGGCCATCTTGTCTTTCTCTGAATATTTATTCATTATATTAGTAGTTTTAAACATATATACATGCCAATTATGAACATATATATGAATATATTATTGATATACTGATTTATATCTTGCTTCATTCCATAAAGGATTTAGATCAAAACAGAATAAAATGAGTTAGTTTATGAATTGAATGCTTGGTCCATAGACGAACAATCAAACAAATAACTTTCTACGTTAAACCTTATAGAAACTGATACCTGGAAAAGAACAGTCTAACAAAAGAACTTAGTGTCCTGGAAGAAGGAAAAAGATGCCTCCATGTTGAGTGAAGGTGTCACAATCACCACATTTTGCATTCCAAAGACAGTGTGATAAAAACATTTAGATGTCCTGCCTTTTAAAATTAAACCCTAAGTACCAAATAAGCAAATAATTAATCACCTTCCACAATCACTAATCCCAAATCTTCCTCTGGTGTCCTCAGAGAGGCCCTTGACGGCAGCGTTCCATAGCCTCTCCTAGCCAAGGCAGTTAGCTTCTATCTTCCACGGTCCTTTTAGCCATTTGAATCCATCATTAAAAGGTTGCAAAAGTATTTAAATAAAATACCCTCCTAAATTGTTTAGCTGTGAAATTCGATTGCATTCAACATAGCCTTGATGTTTCTGGCATGAAATTATAGTATTTTTCAAATCAGATTATAAAAAGTTATGTATAGTTTAAGTAAGGCAAAAAGCTGAGAACATGTTAGTCACACTGTGTTATGTCATTCATGTTAGACCCTGACATTCGATTCCAGGTTATAATGCTTCTAAAGAGTCCTCTTAATTGCTGCTAGATGAAATTTAAATTCCTAGAAAGCTGACTTGCTTTTCCCTTCTTTCAACCATGCCATACTTGTTCTGAATGCCAGGCTACCCTTCTATTCTCACAACTAGCCAGAATAAAAACTAAGAAGAGCTCTATAGTACTTATCTATCCAGCGAGGCAAACCCTTATCTTTGTTTGGCTTGGCAGTGAAAAGGCTGAAAAGTATAATGGAAAGAAGCCTTTGCAATAAAGTCTTCCAGCACGTATTTCTAATGTAACTTCAAACAAGAAAGACACATTCTTCACACCACTCTTTTAGCACTGAAGGGGTAGTGTTCTGTTAAGCCAAGTAATGGGCCCACTTATTAACTTTAACTCGTAACTGATAAACAGTGAATTCTTAAGACTATTGCTCAATAATCAACATACCAGCCTTAGGGCAAAAGGATGAAGGTTCAAGCAGGAACTCTGTGCATAGGCTTCTATTTCAATCACTACTTGTGATAAACTTTTGAAGACTACCCTAGACCTCCTATGTCTTAGCTTTTTCTCATTCTTTCTTCTCGAAAAACAGGACAGAAAGAGGACCAGCACATGCCACGTCCTACCTCTCCAAAGGGTATAGAGCCTTTCTGGAGAGAGCTAGGGCTCATGAAACCAAAGCACCTATCTGTTTTACAATGTTTATTATTCCTTGGCATTGGTCTGTTGCCAACTTCTGATCTGCCCCTTCACAAAAGCCATAAATGTGAGAATGAGGAGAGGGGGAGTCTTTGGAAATGAAAAGAGCAATTTGGCAAGCCCTTTATTCTAAGCAGGATAATTCTTGAGCCTGAAATCTCACCCCATAGGGGATCTTACAGTAGAACAAAGGGAAATAAGGTTTTCTGTCAACAAACCCCTAGAATCTCTTACTGCAGTATTGGAAGGAGAGGCTGTAAATAAAAGGAAAACAACAACAATTGGGAAAGTCGAACCAGGCCCAAAATTAATTAGGTCACCTGGAAAAAACCACCACCTTCTTCCTCTGAGTCTAACATCATATTAATAATCCTTCTGAGGGGCCCAAGAAGAGTAGTTATACAGAGCATTCACACTCTACATTGGCTCAGTTTGGTCACAACAATAACAGCAGATTGGTAAGGCATGCAGTGAAACAGATGAAGGGTTACCTAGCTCCAGGCACAAAAGAAAACCACCAGGACTCTCAACTTCTCCATATAGCTTTCAAACATATGTGTTACAGAGCTAGGGGAGCATGAATAAGCAAATTTGCATGATTTCCAAAACTACAGAGTTGAATAGCTCATTTCTTTCTAGTCAGAGCATAGGGGAGGTTAATGCAACAAAAATAAAAGCTGGTTATAATGTCAGGCATTCGAAGAGCACATGCATCCAATGTATTACAACATAAACAAATGGATTCAAACAACAGAACTTAGGTAGAACAAAAACTGTTGCTTTGTAGCAAGGGACACTTGATAGAAAGGAGAATGGCAATTTCCCCTCCTAAGCAAATCTTAAGAGGTATAAAATTAACTTTAAAGAAAAGCATAAGGCATAGAAGAAAAAAAATGGACAAATGCCTATTATGTGCCAGGAACTGTTTCTAGGATCTTTTAATCTCAGGATTAAAGACTATTGATGTGAATTTGTCTGTATGAATGACGAGGACCTTATTGCTGATGCCTGACCCTCACCAACAGAATAAGCAAGACCATGGCACTAAGGCTCCCCCTGACTAGGAAACTCTGGCGATGCAGTTGGAAGTGGGCCACCAAGGTATGCATCATGTCACCCAAGCATTCTAGAGTCTGGGGGTAGTAGATCTGGTCAACAGAGAAGGTGGATACGCCACAGCATCGACTCTGGATGGATCTGGTCCTGTTCGAAAATAAGCACCTGCCTAGAGTGGCAGAGGATGTCTCCCAAGCTTCTCTGCAATAGATTTTTTTAGCTGAAAGCTGAAAACTCTTTAACAAACCAGCAGGTGATTTTGGTGGTACCTTAAGCTCTCAGGGAGCTTTCATTTGAGACACTGTCATGAAAGCAGTTGAAAAACCCTCAGAAACCTATATTTGGATACCTATTATTTATCCTGAGTCCAGCCAAAACATTTACCTGAAAGATATACTTTCAAAATCAGACACATTGCGGTATCCAAAACAACCCAGGCTAGCAGACACAAAGCCTTAACATGTGCCTTTATTATGCACTCACAAAGTTTCTGCTATGAAAGTCTGAATCCAGCTAACCCTAAATGTATGACAAAAACAAGCAATTTTAAAATAATGACCTTTGCTCTTATAATACCCTCAGCAATGAGTTTCTATACACATTGAGTCATAAACTCCAGCAAGAAATGGTACATGATATCACATGTCCAGGGACCTTAATACATTGCATTGAACCTTAATACATGACCAAATATCAAGGCACTAAGCAAGTTCTATGAGAGCCTGAGCACTTCATGAATCTTATGTTAGAATTCCAACAGAATTCTACTGGTTCATTTTGGTAGAAATGTTTCTTACATACCTAAAATATTCTTAACTGTGAGGCCCTAACACATTTTAGTATTATTTTAAAATTGAGTCAACATTCTAAGTTTCCCTTAACCTTCCTTTGGAAATTCAGACAAATTGATATGAGATGTCAGAAATTCATGTGTGCCCTTCCCCAGGGAATTTTCAAATAAAAATAGCAAAACAACAAAAAACAAACCCAGAGCCTCCCTTTTAGAAAATTTATTAAATTGTTGCCATTCTCAAAGTTGTTTTTTTCTCCATGAAATATGAGCAATTTAAATGTTCTCATGTCCTTATGCTTGATTTCTCATTTGGGGATGCTTTTTATTAACAAAGTAATTTTTATTGCATAACCACTACTTTCTCAGACACTATTCGGTCTTGCACAGTTTACTTTTCATTCCCACTTGATACCAACACTCTCGTTCAAGACAAATTCTCCTCTGGTACCTGTCATGGAATTTTACCATTCTGAGTTTTACAAACTGAAGGGAATATTGATTACTCACCATATCCAGGAATGCCTTCTAAAGGGAAAATTATTCACGTGCATCATGTTCGCAGATCTTCTGTCATTAATATTTTTCTTGTCTCCTGTGTTACATGTAGTGATTTTTACAGATGAATTCCAACTCTCTTGTTTGAGCAGCTATGGTGGGCAATTATTGCAACAAGTATTGAATTCCAAAAAAAAAAAAAATCTCCCCCCACCAATAAAGACAAACAGCAATAACAAAAGCCCTTCCAGGATTTGAAAAAAGAAACATCACAGAGCACTGCAGGTATGGATCCATCCATTTAGGTTCCACTAGTTAGTCAACACCCTAAAATAACCAGTTCAACTACTAATCCTAAATGCCTAAATGGTGGCAACTATTGTCCTGGTAAAATCTAACTGCATTGGGTGTAAATTAATGCATCCTTAAGAAAGGACTCTGGAATGTGAGAAAAAAAAGAGTCAAAAGACAGTTTCTTGATATCCTTGTTAAAGAAGTGTTAGAAGGGAAATGGAAAACTTCAGGTTGCTTTGCCATGCTGTCCTTTAGAAATGAATATTGCTTTTTCTTCTTTCTTAGGCACATATTCATGTGTGGTCACTTTAACGCAGTGCTACCGTCTGAGACGTGTCGGACAAAGACCTGGGCAGAGGGGCTAGAAAGCATGTATCACCAAAGCCAGCTTCTTTCCCCAAATTTCAGAATTGCTGGTTCAACTGCAAAAGTAGGAAGGCAACGAGTAATTTCTGCTTTGCAGGACAAAATTGCCATTAACTACCATCATGACTTCAGAAGGTGCTGTCACGATGAAATTCATTTCTGCTGCCTAACCCCATAATAAGGCTGCCTGCTCTCTTTAAGTAAAATGACTAAGCTATTGATCTTTTCACTGCAGAATCCCCTTTAATTTGTTATTATCAAAACCATGTGGGAGCTTTTCATATTTTGCCTTAGAAAGAAAATGAATTTCACAGCTGCAAGTCAGACGTTGTCTAAGAATTTCTTCCCCCGATGTCTTTTCTTTTTTCTCTCTCTCAATCTCTTTTGTTTTTCACCCCAAATTCAGTTTTCCAATAGGTGTCATTTATTCTGATGCTCTGATATCTTCTGAAAGATTCTCATGCCCAAGCTATACAGACCTTGCATGCTTTTAAAACACAATGGCAACAGGCTCCCGCTGGAGTCCCCCAGCACCGAATTTCCAGCAGAACCTTTGGAATCCTCGCAGCCGCCTTGTCTGCCCTGGGCTGTGCCGCCCCAGCTCTGATCAGCTCAGGACACTTGCAGGCTCCGTGGTACTGTACATTAACTCTGCAGCAGCCTGGCTCGGCTGCAGACTGCTGCCTGACAGGGGATGTGCTGGCGTCAAGGGGGCCCTCTAGGTGGGTTCCCAGACATTGCAGAGCCGCGCACTCCTTGCTAGCCTCCAAGGAAGAGCAAGCAAAAGGGGTTAAAGGAATAGCACGCCCTGGAAGAGTAGATTTCTTTCAGTAAGTAATTACCAGGCAAGAAAAGCTAAACAACGAGAAGTCTGTAAAACACCTCGCAGGGAAATTACACCTTAAACAAACAGATATTATGAAGGGAGGATTTTTTGTTTGTTTTCCTTCTTACCAAATGGAAAAAAAGGAATAAAAGAAGTCCAGAGATCATTTGCAAATGATAGGGCTTGGTGGATTTGACGCCTTAAAAAAAAATACTGGGGTGGGGAAGCTTTGCTTACGTGATGATTTGTAACCATTTAGCTGCAGATGACCACATGGTGATTTTTGGACAGGAAATCCTATGGAAGCCAGTTCTGCAGAAGTCAGTTACACTTCAATTGCGCATGCCATAAAACTGCTTGTTTGATCAGGGGGTGTGTAGATATGAGGAATACTAAGATAAAACATTGCAATCCCTACCATAGGTGTTTTGCATTTCCTTAAGCTTGCTCCTTTGTTGCAAAAATTCTGTTCAATAATCCCCCCAAAAGCACCCCATCACTGTTGATGCCATTTTGGAGAAAGAATAAAATAGTAAACTCTTGTAATAGTAGGTTGGCACTTAAATGGTATTTGTTTGAATTCAGTGGGAGAATAGACTTTACAGTAGAAGTATACTCAATATTAATGTACCACTTTTAACTTAGGTATTTAAAAAGCCTGTTATGCAATTGCTTAATATTAAATGGATTACTGGCAACACTTAATATAACATGCTATTATCTTCAGTTAGGATTTCCCCAGTGAGGTCCTGTCACTGCAGAAAATATTACCCAAGATTGGATAGAGGGCATGTCCCATAAATTCAAAACCTGTTATAAAGAAAACTAGTCTTAAAAACTGCCATGATTTGGGGAATTTTCATTTTGATCAAAAGATGATCCTAATAGGAGTATTCCTAGGAGGAAGAAGAACTGGGTGATTCCTTTAAAAGCAATTTGAACTTGTAACTTCAGAAAGATGCCACTGCAGCATAAAAGAATCTTGAGAATATTTGTTGAGATTTCCTGTAGTCTAGGCAGTGTCCTCATGACCTCTTTTTGCTAAAGGGACTAAATCTCTTCCATAAGATCATTTGTAATCTGGCCCAGAAAACATCAGCCTACATTGTTTTTAACAAGCATTGAATGTTTTGAATCAAGTAATTAAAAATTTGGTACTATATTAGATATTTAAATATTATTATTTAAGAGCTAGAAACATTTACAATGCCCCAGGTCCCATTCTAAGAGTTTTACAGTATTATCTCATTTAATCCACACAACACCACTATGAGTTGAAGCACTGTTACTAGCCCTGTTCTCCAGATGAGGCTATTGAGGCACTCAGATGTCAAGTAGTATGTCTGAGGTTAAATATCTAGTGAGTCACTATCTGAATCAAAGAAGTCTGGCTGCAGAGCCTGTCCACATTACCACCATATTCCAGCACCTCTATAATCACCATAAGGCCACCGTGTTATGTTTTTATACTTTCTTAAAAATTATTGTTATATGTATTAGTTTAGCATCACAGAATTATGCCGAGGAGATTAAAACATTTATTACGCCCATTTGGGAGATGCCAAAAAGACAGTATTTGCTCCTTATCAGGCATCCTGAGAGCAGTAGATCTGGAAGAGAATTCAAATTATTTGGCTCTGTCTGGTTAGTGATCTATGATCATGATTATTGATGATAATGAAATGAAGGGCTTTAATTATTTTAAAACTAACATTTAGTCTTTATACTATATAAGAGAGTAGGTCTCCATGGAAAATAGCAAAGGCAAAGATTTTTTTTTTTTTTTTTTTTTTTTTTTTTTTTTTTTTTTTTTTTTTTTTTTTTTTTTAGAGACAGAGTCTCTGTT